ATATAAAATTTTTAATCAAGGGCCCCCCCCCCCCCCGGTCAATGGTGTCCCTCTTTACCAAACTGAAAATCTGGTCACCTTAGCTATTGTATTGTATTGTATAATATGTCATGTAGAACTTATACATAAGACAGAAAGCTACAGCCCAGGAACATGGTGGAATATATTGACTCCAGGATGGCAAAGGAATGAACTAATGCTGTATATTTTACATAAATTATATCATATAAAACATGTATAATAAATATAGCATATCAATACTCAATGTTTTTGAAAAAAAAATAGTTAAAAGAACTTACTTTTATGGTGTCATAACATCCAAAATAAGATGCTCGATATACAATAATTCCCTGTACTGAAACGCTAAATCCTTGGTATAGACCAGTAATTCCATCTTTTCTAGCAATTTTACCAATACAGTCAGCTAGACCTGAGAATTGTCTCTCAGAGGGACCTTAAAAATGAAGTTTAAAAAAGCAAATTTTCAAAAACATGTTAAAATATTTGAAGCATAAGTAAAAACAAAATATCCCTAGTAGTCATTTTGTAAACAATTTCCTCAGCTGTAGAGATCTCTATCTGGAGAGATTGCCAAATCTGATGAGAAATAGAGTCAACTTTGTAGATAAATCAGGTAACTATATTTTGTTTGGCCAATTTGTGGTTTGTTTATTCCATTCGTTCTGCCAATTTCCAGAAGAAACATGTTGAGCACAAAAACAAATGAGAGGTAATTCAGTATTTATTTATTTAATCCAATTTCAAGGCCAACCAACTTCAAGGTAGTTTACAAATAAAAGAAAGAAATAATACATACCAAAAGAATACCACTGAGTGGAAGAACACCAAGCCTTAAACCAAACCAAACTAAACCACACCAGTCTCAATAATCACTCTTTCTACAATCAGTCAATCCCATTTATTGTTCAGCCCAAATAAAAACAAGTCATAAAAGAACTTCAATTCAGTTACCCCAAATTAATCATGTTTTTTTTTCTTAGAATGAGTTAACATGCCATGGTAAACTAAAAACAAATATCCTGTGATATTTTTACATGCTATATAAATGAGGAAACTTTGGATAGCATCTTTCATTTTCAAAGTAACTGGCACGAAGTCATTCAAATTTAATATAGTAAATAGATTGTTGCATGGAATATCCAGGTCCAGAGCAATTTTCTACAGAATAATAAATAGTGGGGAAACACATTAAAGAAATGCTGTGCATTTCTTAAAGATATCTAATGACTATTGAAAAAAGTAAAAGCTAAATGTACTTTATCTAATGAGCTTTATGTATAGGCAATTCAAAGTTTAAAATATCAATGTCAGATCCCTAAAAGTGATACTGCCACATTCAATTGGGAGGAGGGGAGCCTCAGAGTTAAATAATTAGCTATATCTGAAACAACTGAGTTTTACAACTTTACAACTGGTTTCCTGTCACCAGGAGACTGAAGGTCCAAATATCTCTGGAGGGATGTTTATGATAGCCATGTGGGATATATAACTTTGATGTCTAGCTAGAGATAGCCATGGGAACATGTGCTTTATTGACTCCCAGGACAGAAGAGTTACGGATGCATCTTCACACTTGTGTATTGGTCAGAATCTGCATTCGGACAAAGGGGAGGGGTCATTATCAGATTAATCCCATTTGCATGGCCTAAAGGTTTTCAGATGCTGTTTTGCTTCTAATAGTTTCCATCCTGACTGATTAAGGTTTCCTTTTGAAATAATCTGTTTCAGGAGTCTTTACTTTCTCAAGTTAGGAGAGGAGCCATTACAATCAAGTTTTTATTATATCTTCAGTATTGATAGTACAACATATAGAAACTCAAAATATTTTTAACATGTAGCACCTTACCTTTGCCAATGTCAGCACCCAATCGAGTTCGTGCAAAGTCTAATGGATATACTACACACAGTGAAGTAGCCCCAGCTGCTCCACCAGCAGCCAGATTTGAAATGAACCATCTCATAAACTGTAATAGAAATAAGTTCTCGGTTCAAAATAAATGTTGCAATCAAGCCAGGGGTGAAATTCAAATTTTTTCCCCTACCGGTTCTGTGGGTGTGGCTTCGTGGGCATGGCAGAAGAAGGATATTGCGAAATCTCCATTCCCACCCCACTTGGGGCCAGCCAGAGGTGGTATCTGCCAGTTCTCCAAATTCAAAATTTCTGTTACCAGTTCTCTAGAACCTGTTAGAACCTGCTGGATTTCACCCCTGATTCAAGTTCTTTTTTTTCGGATGAATATCTCAACTATTGTAAACTAATATTGAGATGACACTCATTTTATGTATGATCAAATTCAAATAAAAGCAAATGACCAACATTTTAGGGAGTTTGGATGACAAAATTACTAATCATATATACTCACAATATCTTTTCATTTCAACCTATGTCAATTGCTATGAATAGAAAATAATGCTCAAAATAATTTTGATTGTAGATATCACAGCTTTTATCTTAGAACACATTTTCTTAAAGAAGCCACCCTGAACTTTATGTGTTAAAGTGTAAGTAACTTAGTTACTTACATGTTTTGAAGTATTCTGGATTAACTTCTTTGAAAAGTACTGCATTTATAATTTTAGTTCAAGTGTATGTTTCATTTATGCTGTTAAACAATGCAACTCTTATTTAATTCAAATGAATGTGGCAGTTTTGCAATTATTCATATCTTTTGTTAAAATACACCTTCCAGTGGTTTTATTTATGCACTGCAGCTTAGTTATTTTAGCTTTCATTCATTATACTCCATTATATTATGGAATAAATGGCAAGATTTACTGAGCTTGGCTGATCTCAAAAGCTAAGCAGTGTAGGCTCTTTCTATACTTAGATCTGAGATCAAGAGAAAACTAAGGGCCACACTTTAGCCCAGAAATCAGAAAAGCATTTTGTAAAAAGTTAATAGCAAATTGCTTCTGTGTTGTTGCCAAGAAAATAGCATGGGCATGTTCATATATAGAGTTCTGTTCACTGGAAAGAGACATTCCCATGTTCTCTAGAATAATAATTTAAGAATTAATTTGCCTTAAGTTGACAGAAGATGAACATGTAATACAAAATATTGAAGATTAAATAAGGTCATTTGCAAGTGCTCATAAATTAAAGAACCTTAAATGTGAAATAAGTATTTGCTAATTCAGAAGATATTAAAATAAATATAGACAAATTGTCTACTGGGCAAAGGGAGTTTTAATTCTTCTTGATACTATTCTTATTTATATATTTAGGGCACTTATGTAAATAAACATACGTATGTCTTTTTAAAAACATTCTTTCCTCAAAGGTTGACAAGCTCATTAGATACAAAACTTTGTATACTTTCTCTCTATTCTCTACCATATAACTTTTAAAAAATAAGTAAAAATTCATTTACTGTATTTATATTGGCATATTTTAATCAAGATTCTCAGTGGTTTACAATTACATTACATTAATTAAAATGAAATATGAAATCTAAAATATTTGGAAAGCAAATTACTTTCCACTATTATACTGCACAATTGTACAGATGATTGAAAACTGTTTATTTTTATTATTACTTCCTAGCGAATGAAATGGTGTTAATTCTTCAATGCCTTTTAGAAATATATTCATTTAAACATTTACAAATTGAAAAGACATTGTAGGGGACGCAACAGCCAATAATCTATATCAATGCAGACAATTATTTTCAAAAGGAGCCATACATTCAAGTGATTGATCAATCAGGTTTCAGACAATTAGATAACGCTGAAATCTGTTTGCTTAACAACCTGGCCAAAGCTAATACTTTACAAATACATTTCAACTACATTTATTGGAATTTACAACCTGGGTAGGTGTCATAGCTTAAAACATTTAAGTTAAGACTGCAGAAGACTAACTGAAGTTCTGACCCCTTTTTTGTTCACTATTCATGCCTACACACTCTCACACAAATTTCCTTCCTTCATTTTCAAGTGGTCAGAAGTATGCTATCTGGGATTTCTAGCTTGCTGTCATTCCAACACATCTAGAAAAGATTAAGCAGAGTATTGCTGCCTTAATACAACAGGTATTAGAACACTGAAAAAATAAACTAACATATTAGTGGGCCTTAAGTGGCGGCATTCCAAGTAATAAGACTCAGCATTTCCTCATGTAACCATTGATTTAATCCTTTATTAAATATTTTGCATTTTTATGCATGATAGGAATAAAACAAATTTTCAATGATTCTGCTTTCTTACTATGACCCTTCTCTATAGTTTCAAAGGATCCTTCAACAAAAGGGGCTGTAGGAAAAGACTATCAAGCCATATAAAGTACACACATATATATTTTCCTGGCGGGCATGTCTCTTAAGTGTTAGTTAACTCAGGAAATACCGTATTTTCACGACCATAAGGCGCACCGGATTATAAGCCGCAGTATCAGTTAACGTTAATTTTTCAAACTTTTTTCATATATAAAGCGCACCGGGTTATAAGCCGCATGTTTTTTTGCAACATTCATCCGCGCGAAACTTTCGCA